CTGAGGCGGAGGAGAGCACCAAAGTGACCACCGACACAATCGAAGGAGTACCCGGCTAGCCACGGCGTGCCCACGCCCGTAGTTACCAGGCAAAATTCACTGCCTGGTGGCCACGGCTGTGGTCACCAGGCGGTGTATTCTGCCTGGTGGCCACGGGCGTGGCCACTAGGCAGATTTTACTGCCTTGTGACCACGCCCGTGGCCAGCTCCCTGTTTCATTTTGCAGCGCGATTTGCTCTTCTTAAAAGGAACTTTTCCACCCCAAAAAATGACCTTTCATTTCTCTTTCACTTCATAGCTAGGGTTAACTTTAGAATGCCTTAGATAGGTGTAGATTGGTTGTTCCTTTCCATTTCCAAGCTCAAGAACATTGCAAATCTTCGATTTCAAAGCTTCAATAGAGAAGTTTTTCTCATTCTCTTCTCTTTACTTTACATCTATGCTTTCAATTACTCTTTTAATATTGTGTATCTATTGTTATATTATGAGTAGCTAAGTGCTTTGGGACTAGGATTTGATTTGATTTCTTGGTATTGATGCCTATTTGAGTTGTATTGCATAAAGGGGATTATTTGGGTGTTCTAGGGTTAGTTGTGTGATTTTTGGATTATTATGAAATTGTGTATAATTGTTGGATCCCAATTATATGCTTTATTTGGAGTGTGTTTGTTGCTACGAGAGTAGAGCTTGTACACTAGCCACACATTCACACACTTAATGCCCAATACGAGAGTATTTCGGGTATTAAGGAGAATTTATGCCTTCTGTTCTTGCTTGGGCAACCTTGGATTGAATTGCCACTAGAGTAGAGTTTAAGGATAGGTTGCAAGTCCAAATAGCTACGAGAGTGGTATTTGGACACTTTTGTGCATCTCACTTACCTTATGCCTTGTTTAATTCCCTAATCTTAATGTAATATTTGGCATCTTAGCTTCAATCAACCAAATCCCGGTCCTTTGTTTTACTTGTCTTATTTGTTATTAGCTTTATCATATCAAACCATCTCCTTATCGATAGGTTTAGCTTCTAAAAGAATAGTTTTAGCTTGTGCTTAGCTTCACTTTACATCATTTTCTAACATTACAAGAGTCATCACTCAAACAATTCAAGAGCAGGCAATCAAGATAAAACTCCTAAGCCAAAATGCTCTCCCTCAAGGTGCAATAGTCAAGTGTAATTGTGGGCGTCCAAATTTATGCCCTAACTCCCATCAAGACACAAATATAGCAATGAAACAAGTAATTGGATCCTTAATTACAAGTATCAATAATATAAACTACAATTGCAACACAAGATACAAAACACAAACACATATTTCATTAAGGAAATTAAGAACAATAATGCAAATAGGTTCATAAATACTTTTCAACTCAAAAATCCCAAAATAAGCTTAGCCATAGAGAGATAGCTATGTTTTATGGCAAAACTTTGTGAGACCGTCTCACAAATCCTTGTCCGTGAGACGAATTGAGTCAAGATCAAATGTAATACTAATTAATAAGGAATAAAATGTTTATTACTTATATGGAAAAATGTAATACTTTTGAAAAAAATGTAATACTTTAACATTTTGATTTAAAAGTATTACGTTTTCCCTTATAAGTAGCCAACACTTGTCAACATTATTTACAAGAGAAAATGTAATACTTTTGATAAAAAAAAAAATGCAATATATTTACATCAAAATGTAATAAAAGTATTACATTTGTCATCAAAAGTACATTTTTCATTATAAATAACAAACATTTAATTCCTTAATATTGCATTTTCAGTATAAGTATTGTATTTTCATACTTTGCTCATCGGATCCGATCCATGTTTTATCTACTTTTCAAGTATATATTTGAACCACAAATTGAGGAGAAGAAACCGTCAAAATTTATAGGTCCCATATAAATACTCTTACGCCAATTTACGGGTCATTAGGTAAAGTTGAGAATTTGACATTTTCAATAATCACGTCCGACAATATGCATGGTTGTTGATACTTTTTGACAATTGACAATGCAAATATTTATAATATTGACAAATTGGGTTGAAATTAAATTGAAGAATTAGACTCTAATTTACAGACTTTTCTCCTCTTCTGCCTTCAAAATTTGACTAAGATGTCTCATCAATTGATCATTTTACCCACATGCCTTGAAATATTGTATACACTAGTACTACAATAAAGTAATCTTCACATCAAATAATTGAGGCTTTATATTTTTTAGATCATTTTTGTTAGCGTGCATGGTTGTTTTTGAATCAAAAGGTTACCATTAGTACGTGCACCACATGCTAGCACTTTGTGATACACCAAAATTCATTTAAAAGTGTAACACAGAGCACTCATCAATGCACCACACACTAATACTTAGTGCACCACCAAAATATACATAGTATAAGAAATTATCAAAATGTCACCATATTTTTTCTCATCTTCATTGATTTTCAACTGTTGATCTAAGTATATCTAATGGTCCAAAAATGAGTCCACGCCGCATGGGAGAGCAACACCGCTTTTAAGAAAAGTTACAACAATTTATTCACCACTTTAATAAATTTACAATTATATTTTAAAGAAATATAAGGGTCAAATAAGTCACTGAACTGCACACGATAATGCAATTAGGCCACTGAACTTAAAAAAAATAATTTATAATTGGGTCCCTAAACTAACCAATTTCATTCAATTTGTCCATTTTGCAGGTTTCTCTGATTTCTAACAGTTTACTCCTTCACCTATGATGCATATGTGGCATTTTTAAAAAATAATTTATTTTAAAATTAGTTTTTTAATGTTTAATAAATAAAAACTAAAATAATTTGTTTTTTTTTTAATAAAATAATTTGTTAATTTGTTTAAAATTCGCAAATCACCAATACAAACTAATTATTTTAAAATTCGAAAATCACCAAATCACAATAGTTTCGATTAAATAATTTGTTAATTTTTTTATTTGTTCCTGGCGAAGATACAAACCAGTAATTGAATTATATTATACATTTGGTAGTAATTGAATTATTTTAATACTATAACATTAGCAATATTATTGTTAGTTGTCTCAAAAGTCTACATAAACAAAACAATGCCCATCAGTTAACAACATTGTACTACCAAACAATACAGCAAACTAAGTACCATTTAACAAATAGAAACATGACACCTAGCATTAATTTAACTAAATACTCTAAAAATTTCAATAAAGCAACACTGCACTACCAAACAATAAGGAAAACTAAGTTCAATTCCAGCATGGACCCCATTTGCAGGTTAAATTTCAAAAAAATTCCAACATCAAAACAATAAAGAAGGATCACATTTTTCCGTCAAAAAAGAACTTGTGAGCATTATTGTAAACATATTCCAGAAATACAACTTATAAATTATACAACACTCTTACATAAACCCAATCCCCAGAATACATACAACCCAAACCCCAACATAAAACTAACACATACGAATACCTATATGTACTTTAACTATCAAGCTAAAACCATACCTTTTGGAAGCTATTGCGGTTGAAAACTTAGCAACGATGTGTGATGAAAGTGGTTGTGATGAAGTCTACGAGAAGTCTTCCTGCGATTAATCTCTTTAACCTAAATAAGGAATCCGATTGTTTAATAGGAAACAAATTAGAAAATTAAAGTATTTTAATTTTTATTTATTAAACATTAAAAAACTAATTTAAAAATAAATTTATTTTTTTAAAATGCCACATATGCATCCTACGTAGAGGGGTAACCTATTAGGAACCTGAGAAACCTGCAAAATAGACAAATTGAATGAAATTGGTTAGTTTAGAGACTCAATTTTTTAAATTCAATGGCCTAATTGCATTCTCGTGTAAAGTTCAATGGCCTATTTGAACCTTATTCATATTTTAAATGTTATAGCTATTCATACCCGGCCCCGCTCTAAATTTAAGAGTTGTAATTTTTCATACGTAGATTAAAATTACTCAAATGTTTGAACCTTTTTTTTTTTTTTTGCATTATTTGAATTTTAATTAATTTATAAAAACTTACAAACTTGCATTTTGTTTAGGTTTAGTGCCTAATTTATAAGTCTTGTGTACGTGAGATTATCTTAGCGTGATACGTGTAATATTGTACTTTTTATGAGTGTATAAAAAATATTATATTTTAATTAAAAAAAATATTACACATATCAGACGGTCTCATCCAATTCTTGCTCTTTACTTTATTACGTTTGTAGTAATGGCTAAGTTGGTTATTAACCAAATGGATAGATCCACAGTCAACTCACTGTGCAAATCGTCTATTGGCTTTTCGGACAAGTTTCACCAAAGTGGATTACAAATTTTTCCGTAAATCAAAATTTACTATAAAAATCCGACCAACGGCATCATATCATTGTACGTTGAATGACATGATAGATACATGCAATAGTCCGTGATACGAAAGATTCCTTTTTTTTTTTTTTTGTGGGAGGAAAAAAGATTTTGGCCCTGTTTGGTAAAAAATTAGCCTATAGGTCAATTTTGATTTATTTGACCACTATTAATTGTTTGATTTAGTTAAAATATCAATATAAGTGTTTGGTTAATTAGCTTTTTGCAATTTCAATATCCTAAAATTCAAAAAAACTACTCTAAGCAACTTTTTCAATTAGTTTTTTGAGAAAAAAAAATTATACCAAACAGCTATCAGCTAACAGCTAATTTACCAAACACTTTTCTACAATCAGCTAATGTTATCAACTATTCATACTCTCTAATTAACACAACTAACAACTAACAACTAACAATTATCAACTAACAGTCATTTTACGGCCTACTTAAATTCCATCACGTTAAAATTGAGGTTTCATTTCTTTGAGGTCGTAATTAACGTACGATTAGATCAGACACTCGCTATTGAGAGCCTCTCATATGTGATACGTCTATCCTAAAATATTATAAATTGAGTGGCAACTTAGAGAACTAAATGTAAAACCTAATTTATCATTTATTTGTTCATATATTTCTGATATCCCCTTTAGCTTCTTGCCCAAAATGGATGCCAATAGCAATCTACCATTATCAGTTCTTATGTCAAACCAAACACAGCTTCATGAAGTTCGCCGTCGTTCTGCTGGTTTTCATCCAAGCATTTGGGGACACTATTTTCTACCTTATTCTACTCAAACCAAGGTAGGGTTTATATACTTTGACTAATTGATAGTATTAGCTGATTGTAGAACAGTGTTAGGTAAATTAATTGTTAGATGGTAGCTAATTACATGCAAAATGACTTTCTCAAAAAAGCTTATTAAAAAAGCTACTTTAAGTAATTTTTTGAATTTTAACATTTTGGAGCAATAATTTGTTACAAAAGGCTAAATAATCAAACACTCATATTGATTGTTTAACCAAGTCAAACAGCTAATAGTGGTCAAATAAGTCAAAATTAGCTAATAGGCTAACTATGACAAATTATATTGTGGAACGCGGTCCATAATGCATTATGGTCCAGGCATCAAATATACACTGCAGTTTCATTTCAACACAACTACAGTATCATTTCAATTCAATTGCAGTTTCATTTGATAATATAATAAAAATAATACGTGAGACATTGTCAGTTTAGATACACTATAGTGTCTGCCGTTTTGGACCTTGGTCCACAGAGCTTTGTAGACCGCGATCCACAGTATAATTGCTGGGCTAACTATTTTATCATACAGGGCTATACTCGAAATTGAAGTAGGCTATGTTTGGCAAACCTTGCTGAAAAGATAGTTGAAAGTTGAAAAGTAGTTGAAAGCTGGAAACTGAAGAGCTGTTAACTAGCTGATTATGCTTTAAAAGTGTTTGATAAAATTAGTTTTTTGATAAGCTAATAAATGTAAAAAGACTAAAAATGATATTTTTATAAAATTTAAATGATGCGATTATTATATTGTTTTTATATTATTGAATATATGAGATATATTTAATTTATTAAAAAATTATTTTTATAATATATATGAGATATATATTAAATTAAAACGAAAGAAAAAAAATTTAATTGATAAGGGTAAAAGATGTCATTTATTTATGAACGGACGATAGGAGTTAGAACTTTAAAGGGGTTGCTGGGTGGTGAAGAGTTGTCGGGTGAAGATAGAATAAAAATATAGGAGAAGAGAAAATGTCAAAAGAGTTTTAATTGGGAAGGGTAAAAGATGTTATTTATTTAAAATAATAAGGATAAAGATGGAAAAGTTTTAGGAAGCTCTTAGCTTATTTTTAAAACGCTATCTAAGGTACTTTTTCAAAATAAGCTCTCTTATTTTAAGCTAATAGCTTATTTTGATAATATTACTATTGGGCGTCGGCCGGATTGGCCGAGTTCAGCCCCTGCTTGATTCGAGACGTGGCGATGTGGCTTACCATGGAGAGATGTGGTTAAATGGTTAATGTCCACCTACTTATCACTAATTGGTTTTGAGTAGGATATGGCAACCAGGTAGCATAGAACTCTGTGGTTAAGCGTGCTTGACTTCTGACAATCCCAGGATGGGTGTCCCCTAGGAAGTGAGCATAGTGCAACGCTGAGATCCAACAATTGGTATCAGAGCCAAGGTTACCCAGGTACCATAGAACTCCGAATCGCGAGTCCCAGATGGGATGTAGGCTAAGGATTGAGTCGACGTGGCGCTGTGGCTTACCACCTACTTATCACCAATTTGGCAACCAGGTACAATAGAACTGTAGGCTAAGGATCGAGTCGACGTGGCGCTGTGGCTTACCACCTACTTATCACCAATTTGGCAACCAGATACCATAGAACTCCGAATCGCCAGTCCCAGATGGGATGTAGGCTAAGGATCGAGTCGACGTGGCGTTGTGGCTTACCACCTACTTATCACCAATTTGGCAACCAGGTATCATAGAACTCTATGCTTAAGCGTGTTTGACTTCTGGCAATCCACCTAGGAAGTGAGCATAGTGCAGCGCTACTTTGCGAAACAGAGCCTAATATTTTTATACAGAACATACTACCCATACAATATAATAATACTTTGGTAAAAGGAAAGCGAGATGTTGTATATGCAGGAAGCAGATACACAAGAATGGCAAGAGCATCAACAACTAAAGGAAAAGGTGAAGAACATGCTTGTTGAAGCCCCACACATTTCTTCTCAAAAACTAGACTTGATCAACAAGATCCAACGCTTGGGAGTGAGCTATCAATTTGAAAAGGAGATTGAAGCAACATTGCAACTCATATTCAGGAGCTACTATGAATCGAATATCCAACAAGATGAGAATGATCTTTATATTGTTTCGTTGCGCTTTCGATTACTTAGACAACATGGTTATTGTGTACCTTGCAGTAAGTGTTTTAACAAAAAATTAAATACTCCATATGAAGATTAATTATATTATACATAAAAGGTGGGATAATAATGATGAATTTTGCAGGGGTTTTTGAAAAGTTCACTGAATTTGATGGAAAGTTCAAAGAATCATTAACCGATAATGTGCAAGCAATCATAAATTTGTACGAGGCATCACATCTTAGAGTGCACGGGGAGAAGATTTTGGATGAAGCATTAACGTTTTCCACTTCATATCTACAATCCATGCAACCTGCAAACTTGACTGATCATCTTAAATCTCAAGTCAGTGAAGCACTAAAGTGGCCAATTTGCAAAAGATTAACGAGGATTGAAGCAAAAAGATACATATCAATTTACGAATCTGATCAATCACATGATGTTGTACTGTTGAAATTTGCAAAGTTGGACTTCAACATGTTGCAGAAGGAACATCAATGGGAGATAGGTTGTCTCACAAGGTAATTGAAGTTAAGTTTTTAGCATCAGAGTTTAGTCAATTTGTGTTTTGGCATACATAGTATTTACTTGTACAAACTAATTAATTATCCAGTCAATAATATGTATATCCAATATTAAGTATAGGTGGTGGAAAGAACTGGACTTCGCAAAAAAATTACCTTTTGCCAGAGATAGATTAGTGGAATGCTACTTGTGGACATTGGGAGTGTATTTTGAACAACAATATTACCTTCCAAGGAAATTTCTTACTGAAGTTCTTGCAATTGCAACGGTTATTGATGATCTTTTTGATGTGCATGGAACCCTCGAAGAGCTCTTGCTTTTCAACAATGCAATCCAGAGGTTCTATTCATTGAGATTTTATTTATTTACTTATTTAATTTTGCCTAGTTTCTTTGGCAAATTTTTCCGTGGAAAGGTGGGCCCGGATTTAAAATACACAATTTACATACTAAATGTTCATAATTTACCTTTTACAAAATTGTGAACATTCAGTAGGTAAATTGTGTATTTTAGACACGGGTCCACCTTGCAAGGTGGACCCTAGTCCATGGTATAACAATGAGTTTCTTTCATACCACGTTAAAATATGTATTCCACATGTATTTTAGCTAAAAGATTAAACGATGATATCTATTCAGATGGGATGTTAGTGCTATAAATGAATTACCAGAATATATGAGGGTTTGCTATATTGCCCTTCTTGATATTTATGCTCAAATGGAGAAAGAATTAGGCCCAAAAGGTCGAGCATACCAAGTCAACTATGCTATAACTGAGGTGTGTAAATTTCTTTTTTTTTTTTTTGAAAGTTACTGGCTCTATTACATTGTAGTATCTGTTCATATACTTTCTCAACCTACTGAAACACAAAGAACCAATAACGCCTCCACTGAGGCTTGAACTCATAATCTTCCAAATGGAAGTCCAACCCGGGTACTATTAGACCACATAGTCCTGGTGAGGTGTGTAAATTTAGTTATACTTATTATTTGTCAAGTTGAATAATGCATATATGTGAATTTTATTTTATTGATTAGTTGCCAACTTCTAGTTTTAAAGTTATTATAAGTCATTGTTTCTATTAAAAAAGAGACTTATCTGAAATTGGCATAACAGTCCATTTACCTTTATTTGATATAATTTATAAAGTTTTTGAGGATAATAACAAATCTTCAAATTTTGATTTCCGTTGTGGTTTTAGATGAAAAAATTAGTGGGAGCATATTATGATGAGGCTAAGTGGTTTCATGACGGTAGTCCACCAAATTTTGAGGAGTACATGAAAAATGCAATTGCATCGTCTGGTATTACGATGGTAGCTACTTCTTCTTTAGTAGGCATGTCGGAAGATTTTGTGACTAAAGAGGTCTTTGATTGGGTGGCTAAAGAGCCATTAATGGTTAGAGCTTCAGAAATCATTGCCAGATTAATGAATGACATTGCTGGACACAAGGTAACAAAAATATGCTATACATACACATATTATTAGGATCAAACGCTTACTACTTATGTTAAAAGCTATAACTAGCTAGTGACGAAGACACAACTTTATTTCTTTATAGACTGCCGTCACATTTTTGAGACGTTGGGTGCTATACTTGGTATTTACCCTTTATCAGCCTTCGTCCAACAATTCCATCTCCTAACACCAGCCAACTTTAAATGTTATTGCTGACTTAGCTCTTATATTACTTGTTAGAATCACACGCTTACCACTTATACTAAAAGCTATATAACTTTTGGCGTAAATGGTAAGTGCTTGATCCTATCATAAAACATTATAAATTAATTGATCGATTCTAACAATAATTGTTATTATAATTATTGAGTGATCGAGGGTGAGTTAGTAGTGGGTGAGTTTGAGTTTGGACATGTATGCAAAAGTTGATCGGAATCTTGGAGTTATAACAAAAAACACTGCTGGAAATTATGAAATTTCTGACCACCTAAAAGTAATATCTTAAATCAAGTCAAAAGCAAAAAGTGGTCAGAAATAGCAATAAAGGTTTTTTCAGATAGCAAAAGTGGTCGGGACAAGGCTTTCGACTTGATTTAAGATCACTTTCAGTGGTCGGAAATTCCATAATTTTCAGTAGTAAAATTAGATTTTCAACCACTTTTGTTTTTCAAAATTGGGTACATATCGATTTAGATAAATTTCCAATTATATACGAAATATATATGAAATTTACGAACAAAGGATTTGTACTATTTGTATAGGTTGAGCAACAAAGAGGGGATGTAGATTCAACTGTGGAATGTTATATGAAACAATATGAGAAGTCAGAAGAAGAGACCGTCAAAGAACTTCAAGAACAAATCACCAACGCGTGGAAGGATATTAATCAAGAACTTCTCATACCTACTGTTGTCCCTATGCATATACTCATCCAAATTGCTAACGTGGCAAGAGTTATCGATTTGCTTTATAAAAATGGGGATATATATACGCATTCCAAAATCGAGCTCAAAATCGTCATTACTTCTCTATTGGTTGATCCGGTTGTGTGATAGTGTTATCAAATGATGTAATCATGTTGCTTTGTTTTTTTCTTTTATGCCATATGTTTTGGTTTGTGATATAGATGCGATATAAATAGTTAATGGTTTTGATAAATAAGTGTGAATGTCAAACTTAATAGTGCTCTTGCTAAAATATTGACTAGATCAACCAGTGATAGAAGCTTATATTGAATTTCAGTGAAGCAAGCTACGTAAAAGTCTTATTTTGAAATTCTAACAATTCAAACACGGATAGCTAGTAACAGGAAAAATAAAGCAACATCGTAATACATGTTGAAGGTAGTAGGTTCATCTTCATTTTTAGTCTTAGGATCCGATCATATGATCGGATCAATTAACACAGAGGTAATGATGTCTTTAGTTTCGGTTGCGGAATGTGTATATGTGTCTTCATCTTTATACAACAAATCCATAACTCTTGCGAGGTTGACAACTCGGAAGAGTATAGGCATGGGAAAAGCAGTTGGGTTAAGGCATTCTTGATTAATGTCTTTCCATGCATTGTTGACTCGCTCATTAAACTCGTTAAAGGTCTCTTCTTTTGACTTCCCATATTGTTTCATGTAGATTTCCACAGCTGTATCTGCGTATCCTCTTTGCTGCTCAAACTATACAATCAAGTATTGTACATATGTATGATTATTGCATTTTTAGAGAAACAAACAAATATATATATATATATATATATATATATATATATATATATATATATATATATATATATATATATATATATAGGGTTGAGTTCAAATGAGGACAACAATATATAGAGGACTGTGAGGACAAATAATGGGCACACAACAAATTTTTACTAGGCACACACCTTAATACATAATGGCACACAAGAATAAATGTAAGCATCAGGTTTCGAACCCAGGCTCTATAAATTAACAAATCTAGCGCGCGACATACAAACTATGGCACACGACTATATTCGGTCATGCACACGACATACCTGCTAATGACACACACTACATCTGTCCTCACAGTCCTCTATAATATACTTGTCCTCATTTGAATACACATCTATATATATATATATATATATATATAATGAATGTTATAGTACACAAATAAACTTTGAATATACCTCATGTCCAACCATATCATCCATTAATCTATTAATAATCGATGCCGCTTGAACAATTAATGGCTCCTTACTCACCCAATCAAAGGCCTCTTTAGTTACAAAATCTCCTTGCATGCCTACTATAGAAGTTGTTGATAACATCATATAACCACACGTTACAAGGGTAACCTTCATGTACTCCTCAAACTTTGGAGTACGTCGCTTATGAAACCACTTTGCTTCTTCATAATATGCTCCCACTAACTTTTTCATCTAAAAACATAGCAACAATTAAAGTTCCAAAAGTTATTATTATCATATATAACCTTAAAGATATGTAAAATTTAACATAAGCTTTGACATAGTTTATATTGATTATGTTGAACCCCTATCTAGCTAGCTACCTCATTTTTAGCATAGTTGATACGGTATGATTCACTTTTGACAACCAACTCTTTCTCCATTTCAGCATAAACATCAAGAAGAACAACGTAACAAAGTCTCATATATTCGGGTAATTCATTTACAAGATTTGCATCCCATCTGCATGGCAAAAGTGTATTAACGCTATTATTTAGAAGAAAAAGCAAAGGTGAATGAAATCCTCAATTAAATAATAATCGAAGTTATATAAAACCTCTGGATTGCATCTGTGAATAGGTGGAGCTCGTCAAGGGTTCCATACACATCATAAATATCATCAACAAGTGAAGTCATTGCTATAACTTTCAAAAGAAATCTTCTGGCAAGAGAGTATTGTGGTTCAAAGTACATTCCTAACATCCAAAAGTAGTACTCCACCAATCTATCCCTAGCGAAAGGTAGATTTGTGGGGACATCTAATGTCTTCCACCACCTATGTTATAGAGAATATAGAAACAATAGGTTAGTCCATCGATCTAAAACCCTTTTTAATATTCATATTTAGGAATTTTTTTGACAGTCTATATTTTACACCGTAATGTCACTGCTAGAAATTATGGAATTTCCGACCATTTGAAAGGGATCTTAAATCAAGTCGAAAGCAAAAAAGTGATAGGAAATAGCAACAAAGGTTTTTCCGGATACCAAAACTGGTCGGAACAAGGCTTTCGACTTGATTTAAGATCACTTTCAGGTGATCAGAAATTCCATAATTTTGTGTGGCCGGAAAACGTTACCTTGTAAGATTGCCTAACTCCCTCTGATGTTCCTTCTGCAGCATGTTGAAGTCCAATTTCGCAAATTTCAACAGTACAATATCATGAGTTTCATCAACTTCATAAATTGATATGTATCTTCTTGCTTCTATCCTCGTTAATCTTTTGTAAATTGGCCTCTTCAATGCTTCACTGACTTGAGATCTAAGAGGATCAGTCAAGTTTGGTAACAAGGATTCTAGGTAAGAAGTGGTAAATACGAGTGCTTCATCTAAAATCTTCTCCCCGTGTAATCTAAGATGTGAAGCCTCGTACAAAGCTAATATCATTTGCACATTGTCGGTCAACGATTCCTTGAACTTGCCATCACATGCAGTGAAGTTTTCAAACACACCTGCAAAATTCAATTATCCCTTACACAGAATACTCGTATTAATTTAGTGCATACTTTTGAATTATACACTTACTGCAAGGTGCATGATAGCCATGTTGTCTAAGTAGTCGAAAGCGCAAAGAAACAGTATAAAGATCGTTCTCATCTTTTTCGACATTGAATTCATAGTGGGTATTGAATATGAGTTTCAATGTTGCTTCAATCTCCTTTTCAAATTGATAGCTCACTCCTAAGCGTTGGATCTTATTGATCAATTCCAGTTTTTGGGAAGAAACGCATGGGGCTTCCACAAGCATGTTCTTCACCTTTTCCTTCAGTTGTTGATGCTCTTGCCATTCTTGTGCTTCTGCTTTCTGTATATACAACGAACACACCTCACTTTTCTTTTATCAAATTAGCATATTATGGGTTGGTCTGATGTGAGACCATCTCATGGATCTCAATCCGTATAACAGTCCAATATAATAAAAACGCGTCATAATAAAATTGTAGATATAATATAATTAATACTTTAAACCTTATATATAATATTTTATAATAAAATTGCAATAGATAATTTGCGAAAATAAAGTAATAACATAACATAATTGTAGATATTATCAATACTTTAAACATATACTTACCAAAATTGTAATAAATAATTTACAAGAAATAAAGTATTAACATAGCAGCAAAATTGTAGATATAATCCATACTCAAGCCTTATTTATAACACTTTATAGCATAAATATAGTCACAAAATTATAACAGATAATTTGCATAAATAAATAAAATAATAACATAACAGAATTGCAAGATATAATTTATATACACTTTAAAGGCTTATATATAATAATTTATAGCATAAATGTAATACGCGCGGACAAACTATAATAGACAATTTGTAGAAAATAAAGTGTCATTACATAGCATAGCATATATATGTAATACTTTATGCCTTATATATAATATACTTTATCGCAAACAATTTGTAGAAAATAATATTACTAAACGCATATACCATAAGATGTAAATTCTCGTGATCCAACTCGTCTCAGGGATTAAGATCGTGAGATGATCTTATAGGAGAATTTGCCTTATATTATAGTGAAAAGCACTCCGAACTTTTCCTTTAGCTAATTTCACATTTTCTTTTTTTGGGTTCAATCAAAGAGTCTTGATTCAATTTATTCGTAATTTAAATTTTATATTATTTAATTTAGCATAATTAAGTTACTAAATTTCATATATTTAAAACCACTAAAGAAAAATTACGTATAGAAATTGTAATTTGGCAAATGAATACTAAAAGGCTATGGGACACGTATAATAAGACAAAAGGAGTATACTTTACTTGCTGCATATATATTTTTGCCTTATGAAGTAGTGCTAGATAATTATTTAATTTCAATGTAGAAAGATATTGCATGCACTCTTGTATGTAAATATTTTTTTTTTTTTTTGGCGATGAAGGAAATCTACAGTACAATCACTAATTAAGAACATGTATGAAATAAATCTCACTTCTAGGTAATACCCCGTAAATCTGCAGTTGAAATATTTTGTATAACGGACTCGACCGAGAGACTGTTAGAAGATATTGCTTGCACACACTCTTGTAAATATATACTAGTCTTAGTGTATATAGCCTAAAAACAAATAGTTATTTTCAATGAAGTATTTTGTGAATTAGTTACCTTTTCATGAGAAGCATAAGCTAGGAAATGGTCACCCCAAACGCTTGGATGATAATTGGCAGAACGGCGAGTAACTTCATGCAACTGAGGGCGGTTTGATGTAAGAACAGATAATGGTTGATTAATGCCAGCCATTTTCGGTTAACTAGAATGGGATAGAAGGAAACAAACAATTTAAGATAAGTAGTACTAGGGATTGCATGTTTTTCTTTGGAGGTGCCTCTCAATTTATAGTAAAATTTCGAGTGTGCAAAGCTAAATTTTCCCCTTATTTTATTTTAGTTCAGTACTAATGGAGATGAAGGTAATGGATTCAAATTTGGATATACTAACACGTTTATGTGTATTAAAAAAAAAAAAAAAAAAAAAACACTTCTATCTGCATTTTTCTTGTAGTGAATGTCTAGTCTTAATGGTCCCATTGTATATTAATTTCACAAGAGATTATGAAATAGTACAAGTACATATACTTTTTTAGTTTTTTTTTTAATGCTACTGACTAAGCTACTTTCTCAACCTACTAAAGCACAAAGAATCAATGCCGCCTCCACTGAAACTCAAACGCACAATCTCCCATATGGGAGTGCAACCTTAGTGTCATTAGACCACAAGGTCTTGGCAAATAGTACAAGTATACTTAAGTACATATTCAATAATAAATATTTATAAATATAAAAGAGTAAATATATAAAGTTTGTAAATAATTTATGCTTATTTTCATATATAACAAATTACTATATAAATTAATGAATTACCATGAATAAATTATTCACCCAAAAAAAATAATAAAAATAATATCTATATGTATTCTCGATTAGAACTAGTTTTAACTTTACCTCTATTATTCTCCTTAATTTTGCACATGTCCAAGATTTTTCTTTTATTTTATTTTTGATCTTCACAAAGGCGGCTAAATCGCATCCTACAGTACACAATACCAAATCAATAGGACCACACTAGTCCAAGCAGCCAAAAGCACTATATTTCTCAAATTTTTATCAATAATTCTTTTTCCTAGGTAATATATTTTATAGGACGAGACATGACATGGATAGTACTTTGATATGTAATAAATGTATATTTTTATATCTTGCAAGTTATGTACACATACATATAGTAAATTAATGAACAGTTGATATGAAATAAATGGAGTTAATACCATCTGAGGTCCTCCGAGTATTGTGGTTTTGCCACGTTTAGTCCTAAACTTTCAAATTGACCATTTGTGGTCCTTCGACTTTCAAATTTAACAATTCATGGTCCAAGTGAACCACCCATGGTCCTTCAAGTTTTGAAATTTAACCAGTTGTGGTCCTCTTAAAAAGACCATGGTTGGTTAAAATTTAATAGTTGAAGGACCATGGGTGGTTAACTTAGACCACGGATGGTTAAATTTGAAAGTCGAAGGACCACAGATGGTCAATTTAAAAGTTTAGGACTAAACGTGGCAAAATCACTATACTCGGAGGACCTCAGATGGTATTAACTCGAAATAAATGTATATTTTTATATTTTGCAAGTTATGTACACATAGTAGGTTAGTGAACACTTTTCAATGCGTGAGATACAACATGTAATAGTTTAGAACTAATAGCGGGGAGGGGGGGGGGGGGGGGACCTGCCCTTTAGGACATGCCTATGAAGTTAACAATACTATTAAATTATTATTTACTTTAGTATCTTTCCAATCAATTATATATAGCGTTATGTGAAAACAAAGCTACTCGCATGGGCAGCTCAATTGGTCACAGAGGTGAAACTTTAAAAAAATGACCAAGGATTGAGTCTCACCAGCGGCAATGAGGGACGGTTTAGCCTCTGTGATAAAAAGTGAATTAATCTCATAATTCATATGAGTTACGTTGATCAATGCTGAGAATTAAGAGAAAAAAAAAAGGGTGAGGTCAATTTTAATAATAATTTTATTATTTTAAATTTAGGGAAATGTACAAATTAATTCATTTTTAAATTTTCTTTCTTCAATTTTTCATTTTCGAAATGCTCATGCAGTCATGTTACTACATTCACCCTACTCTTTATGGTACTGCAATTGCGCCAAATTATATTGTGCATCCGTGTGCACCATGCAAAAACGACGTTGTTTTGACTAAAAACGTGCGTCCAATTAAAAAAAAAATCTTTGATTTCCGTCAACAACATTATGTTGTGCATAATTTCTAAATGTATAGTTATGAAATTATGGATGTATAGTTATGCAATTCTGGATTTATAGTTATGAAATTATGGATGTGTAGTTATGCAATTCTGAATGTATAGTTATGAAGTTATGCAATTCTGGATTTATAATTATGAAGTTAGAGATGTGTAGTTATGCAATTCTAGACGTATAGTAATGAAGTTATGGATGTGTAGTTATGCAATTCAGGATGTATAGTTATGCAATTCTGGATGTATAGTTATGCAATTATAGATGTGTAGTTATGCAATTTTGAATTATTATTTTTTTTAAGTCAACATTAAAACGACATCGTTTTTGCATCTGTGTATACCATGCACAGCATAACTACTCCTGCTATTTGGCAAAACCATTATATTACTACATCAACAATTACGTGATAGAGGCTTGTTGATGCATATATGGACTATGATTTTGCGCCTTTTTTGGGCCCTCCAAGGATCGACACCTGTGTCCTTAAGACTTCTAAAAACTTAATTCAACAATCAACACATCATTTTTTTTATAATTATTATTTTGAGAACCAAACTCCACCATGTGTGTGGTGAATTCTATTTAAATTATGTAATTGTAGTAGATGTGTCAAACGAATAAGTTAGTTCGAAGTTCAGTTCAGACTCAATCCATTTGGACTGGGTCATTTCGGTCCATTTGCTATAATGGACGGACTAGAGTTAGCCTATTTTTTACTACAGATAGGGTTGAACTTTAAATTTTTGTCCCATGGACCGGGCCGAGCCAATCCAACCCATTGGTCTGTACATTTTTAAAAATATAAATATATACTCTAGACTCTAGTAGAGTAATGACTTATGATATTATCATATTAGAAATTGTGATATAATATTGATTTTATGCTTATTAAATTCTTAAGTATTTATTATTTAGCTAGTTAACTGTTTAACTAGTATAGTAAGTTGTAATTACTACCCTAAAATATTTTGAAGTTGTAAAATTTTTTATTTGTTTCAAATTGAAAAAATTACTCTTACTACTTAGTAGTTTGTAGTTACAATTTGTAAACTTATTCTTATTAATAGTACTAAATTATTAATTATTAATTTCTTTATTTTTCTTGTAATAATTCTTAAGTTAAATAGTTGAAAATAAATATGTGAACTTGTAAAATTAATTCAGAAGGAATTCATACCTTAAATTAGTTTATTTATAATTTTTAATATTCTTTATTTTTTCAGGGCTATGAACCGGGTTGAATAATGCAATATGAATCTGGTACATAGAATAACAATTGGGATTCAAACATTGCGGCCGGTCTCTCGTTTTGAATCTTTAGAGCATCTACGATTGTAATTTTTAAGTGATTTTTGCATAGAATAAAAACTGGGCTTTAGTTTTTGGCTAATGAGAAGGCTAATTTTTGGACAAAATTTTCTCCTACAAGATTTGGTTTTTGGTAGGAAAAGAAAGAAAGAAAAAAAAAAAAATTAAACGCGAGCTTGTAGCGCACATCTCGCCCTAGCGGACGCGTGTTCGCTAAGGCGCTTCAGAGTGGCTGTCGGTCACTCTAAAACTCTTTATTATTATTATTGTTATTATTGTTGTTTTTTTTCTTTTTATTTTATTTTTTAAGAAATTACATGACTTTTTTATTGTTTTTTTATTTTTAAATTTTTTTTTTCTTATATTACAAAAAAATTAAATATGTAATATATAATTTTTATAATATATTTTTATTTAACAAGGACAATTAATTAAATATTTGTATTTCGAGTTACATGACTCGCAAATGTAGATATGTTTGTTTTAATAAATTTATTTTCATTACAATTACAAGTTTAAAATTAAAAAAAAATAAAGAAATAATTAAAATTTATAGAGTAAAATAGTAGATTCACAATATACTTATAAAAACCTAAAACTAATGAAAAGAGATTGAATGAAATAATGAATGATGAGATATTAGGCCCATAAAAAACTTTTAACAAAAAAAAAAAAAAAGGGAAAATTGCACTTTTTCCCCCTGAGTTATATACCTATAGCATTTTTTCCCCCTAAATTATTGAAGTGGTTGTTTTTTCCCCTGAAATGTTAAATGGACATATTTACCCTTAAACTAAATATTTAATTTATTTTTTTCTCCAACAAATTATGACCATAATTTGGTTCAAACTAAACAAACACTATAACAACCAAACAGAAATATTCCAATTACAATTTAGAATCGAAATTCGATATTTAGAGTTTATTAAAATCGTGAACCGGAACGGACGGTTAATGTTCCGAACTGAAAAAATAAAATACATTTATTGTTGAATTTAGACTATTTTAAAATAAAAAATAAAATTTTAAAATAAAGACGATTCTAAATCGCGAATCAGATCCGGAACCGCCGGTTCACGGTTCAAGATTCAATTTTTTTGATACATAATTTTAATAAATTGACATTTAAATATTGGATTCTAGATCTGAATTACAACTGTAAACTATTAATTCAATTGCTTTAGTATCCGGTTCAATTCAAACCGAACCGTGGTCATCCCTACGTATACGCAATAATTTGTTGGAGTAGTAAAATAAATAAAATGTTTACTTTAAGGGTATAAATGTCAATTTAATATATCAGGGGGAAAAAGCACCACTTTTAGAATAATTGAGGGGGCTAATGTGCTTACCTAAATAATTGAGGGGGAAAAAGTGCTATAAGTATATAACTCAGGGGTAAAAAGTGCCATTTTCCCAAAAAAAAAAATCTACTTTTTCTTTCCTTACAATCTTAAAAAAAAAAAATGTATATATATATATATATATATATATATATATATATATATATATATATATATATATATATATATATATATATATATATATATATATATATATATATATATAAAATAAAAATTTTAAAACAAAATGTTCGCTAATCGGCTAATGAAAAAGCCCGATAAACACTCTATAAGCCGTGCCCTCTAATTGTTTTCCATGGTCAAACACACTCTTTTGCAGGCGTCGCTCATGGATTCTTCCGGCGATTTAGGGCCGCCTCCGCCGCCGCTTCCTCCTCATCCTCACAACCACCACCGCCACCAGCTTTGCCCCCGCCATCACCACCAGCATCTTCACATTGTACCCAATTGCCCACTTCACAGCTTCTTGTTAAAGCCGCCGAGCCATCACTCGCCTTCCTGCCCTCTTTTCTCCCCTTTCCCTAACCATCTAAACCCACAACCCCTTTCCTCTTCCCAATTTCCAGGCATTCCGAATTTACCGGTCCGTGAGCCCGAAATCACACTCTCCGACGCTATGTGAGCTTTTCTGAAACCCTTCTTAATTCCAGTTTTTTTTTTTTTTTTCTTTTTTCCTGCCGATTGTACATTTTTTCAAGAAAATTAAGTGAATTACTAATGTAAAAATGTAAACTTTATCGGTTCTGACTTAAATTGGAATGGGGAAAAGTTTTTGTGTGTAGTATCTGAAAATCTGAAATCTTTTATCCTCAAAGGTGGTGGTTTTGGAAAAATTTCCTAGAATTTTCTAAGTGCAAGTAGAATTCTGTTCCTTGTTTAGGACTGATTGATGGGTTATGCTCTGTTCTCTTATTCACTTACATGTTAAAGTTTAATTTCCTCAGCAACTGTTCTATGAGTTGTTAAGGAAAGATAGGAATGTGAATTTGGAGCATAAACTGTGTTGATGAACTACAATAAACACGCTAAGTTACTCCAAATTGCTTTTAGACGAGGCTTACACAGTCATTGGAGATGGAAAAACGCATTGAAAACTAGTATAGGAAGTGTGACTTTAGAGGTGGCTGCAATGGATCTTATAGTGTAGAAATGGACAAAGTTTTAGGAAACAGAAAAGAAAGAACTTTGGGAGGGGAATTCCAGCATCTGATATGCGATGTCTAATATCGCTTGATGTAAACTCCCATTTGATGAGACATCGGGAATTCCACCCATTATTGAGCTATTTCGTAACATTGGCATGATTAAAATTTGACGTTATAGTCCAACACTTTGAGTTTCAGACTTAACTTGCTGTTGACAATGCTGCATCATTGCATTCTTAGTTTTCTGCTTAAAGTAACTCTCTTTGTGTTGCTTCTCAATAGGATGATGCAAGAGGAGAATCTGGAGGAAGAACCGGATGAGGAAGAGGACCCAATTTTCGTTCTAACTGATGAATGGAGAGACTTTTTTGCGAAATCTGAGGCTAAAAGGAGGCAAGGTAACTAACATTGTCTCTTTTCCCTTTCGGTTTTGTTTTCCTTTTCTACGCTAACTTTCCTGACAATAACAATTTTACACATTTGCTCGACTTTTGAGCAGCAAAGAAGCAGGCTAAGAAACACAAGAATTAGACGGGGAGTTGCCAACACGACTGAGAATGGCAGCTGCAAATTAATTGGGAAGCTGTTCTATGCCATTCTTATCAACTTTAGCAGATTGACTCATAGTATATGGGAAAGTTCTTAATTCGATTCTGTGTTTTATTTTCATAGAATATCTTTTTCCGTCAAAGCTCAACAACTCATAATATGCCCTGATAGAAATTGAATTCAAGTTTTTAGTACTACAATTTGTACTGCAAAGTACTCTTTCTTTACTATTTCTCTCAAGTGTCCCTTAGATTTTGCTCCCCCATTAGATCTCTCTTATTATGATGTTAATACTCCGTATTTAATTTACACTTAATAAGTGTTAGAATAATGGTTTTTTATTTAATCATAATGAAAAAGTTGTGATTGGTTCACTGATTAAAAATGAGTTCAATCCAACAGCTTGGTTAGTTTTTAAGCCATTATAAGGTTGGAGCGATTGACAGTTTTGTGTTACTCTTTTTTGAGTAAGAGTTAAACTCTATCGGGAGATCTGAGCTAAATCCCGATTAGTTACATATTCAGGAAGATCTGAACTAAATCCCAACTAATCGTGGGGCTATGCTCTAAGGTTCCTACATAAAAAAACACCGACAGAAAAGGTGAATACTGCTAGGAGGGAGATCAAACACAACACACCAAATTCTACCATTTAAGGTTCTATTTCACCATCCAGTTCTACCATTATCAGGGACAAAATAGCTACTTATTTATCTGTCCTACTTATTATTTATTGGTCAAATCAACTTCTTTTTTTAGTTTATTTCTATTAGCATTTTCTTATAATTTTAAAATTTTAATTTTTGTGTGTGTTTAATAGTACTTTTAATGTAGTTTCTAAATATATAAATTTTACATACTAATTCTAAACTTAATAATTTAATATAACATCGAACTCAACACATAAAATGGGACATAGGAAGTATTATATATATATATATATATATATATATATATATATATATATATATATATATATATATATATATATATATATATATATATATATATATATATATATATGCTCCTAGGTTAACTTGTAATAGCCATGTTCTATTCTTTGAATATTAATGTTTTTTTTTTTTTTGTTTTTCAAAGATTACTTTATAATTGTATAATTCTTCCTCGTACATACTACATTAACTCTTTTTTTTTTTTTTTGAAAATTACTACATTAACTCTTATTTGCTTATCAAAACAAATTTCCTCATCGACGATTTCGATAAGATGGCTGATCAGCTCTGACGTGCATGCTGGCCTAACGCATTGTTCCTACGCAAACAGCTACAAAATTCTCTCCTTTTTTTTTTTTCTTTTTTGTTGGGTACAAATGTTAGGCTGAGACTTGGATGACCAAATACAACTCCTGTGACATTGTATTGATTATTATGTTATAGTATAAAGAAATAAAATTAGCATTATTTATTGTTTTTTTTTTTTTTTTGAAAAGGAAAAAAAAAAGTAATTAATGCATAATTTTACTTCTTTATACTTGCATAGCAATTAGTACAATGTCACGTTTCAATAACAACTTTTATTTATTTTAGCATTGTGATAAACACTCGATCCTAATAACAAATTATTATAATTTTTTTTATATACCAATACCAACTACAATGAGAACAATAGTTCTCGAAAGGACATTATTATTGGTCAATCCATTATGATTTAAAGTACATGATGAAAAATGTAAGTATGTATAATTAAGGGGGAATGATAAATGGTAATATCACTACTGGAAATTCTGAAATTTCCGACCACCTGAAAATGATCTTAAAGTAAGTTGATACCAAAAAGTCCAAAAAGTGGTCGGAAATAGCAACAAAGGTTTTTCCGGATACCAAAAGTGGTCGGAACAAGACTTTCAACTTGATTTAAGATCACTTTCGGGTGGTCGGAAATTTCAGAATTTCCTGTAGTGTATTCCTAATAATATAGGGAGAGGGATTCTAGTATGCCTATAATACAAAGTCCTAGTCCGTATGGGCAGCTCAGTTGGCCACTGGGAACAATGACCCGGGATCAGGTTTCACCGGCGACAGTGTAGGAACAACCTTGTGCACAGTAAGCAAAGATTTAGTCTCTGTGTTCAGCTAAGTTACCATGATATATATCCTCCCATATGCTCTCTAGGGCCGGAGCGTGGGGACCCTTAGGGTTGGGGCAAATTATGCTGTGGAACAGTGTCCACCTTGCAAGGTGGACACGGTTCCAAAACTGTTCATAATTATGAATATATAGTTCAAAAATTATGAACATATAGTTCTATAATTATGAACATATAGTTCTGTAATTATGAATATAGAGATTCAATAATTGTGAATATGAAGTTCAAAAATTATGAATATATAGCTTTATAATTATGAACATATAGTTCAGTAATTATGAACATAGACTTCTGTAATTGTGAATATAGAGTTCAATATTATGAATATAAAGTTAAAAAAGTATGAACATATAGTTCGGTAATTATGAACATAGAACCGTGTCCAGCTTGCAAGGTGGACACGGTTCCACATCATAACGATGTAGGGTTGGAGATTCAACCTTTTGGATACAACTAGAATACAAAGTCCTAATAACTACAACTTAATTAATTACAACAATTTTTAAATGAAATTCAAATCTGATCACTAATGTTAAGGTCAAGAAAGGCTGCACATGAAGTAATTATTGGCATAATCTAAATGATATATCAATTAAGAAAGGAAAGAGTATAAGGTGGAAAACCTCATTGCACAAAGCCATTTTCCCTAATTGCCTTTTAGTTACGTTAAGGCAACAGTTAGGGATGTGTCTTGATTTGCTTGAGCAAATAGTCTTTTAGCTTTATTAGTGCACTTTCCGCTGCATTTATTTCATTATTATTATTTTTTTAATTTGTTATTCTCTCTTCTCCCAAAATGTTGAATTCACAAGTCCAAGAACCTCCACACTCCGACCTGACATAGTATTTGAGAGAATAATGTAAAACACAATGACTTAATAATCGAGGCAGGGCCAAATGTTAGTGCGCACAAAAAATCTGTCAACTTTAAACGTAACATAATTCGTTATTCTCTGTTTTTGAATTGGAGAAAAGTATAAGTAAATGCACCTCTTTTTTCATTTCTTTTGATGCACACTTTATTATTATTTTTTTTTTTGAGTATCATTGGCTCTATTACATTGTAGTATCTGTTCATATATTTTCTCAACCTACTGAAACACAAAGAACCAATAATGCCTCCACTGAGGCTCGAACTCACAATCTTCCAAATGGAAGTCCAACCCGGATACCATTAGACAACATAGTCCTGGTCACTTTATTATTTATTTATTTAATCTGATCACTAATGTTAAGCCTTTCCAAGAACGTAGGCGTATACACATGGGTTCAAACTATCGACCCCATTAATCAAGTCAAACCCCTTAATTAGCTTCTCCTCAAATAAATACTTTTTTTTATATATAATATTAAATTGTATGAATGAAAATAGTTTACTTTTTCTTTTTTAAAGTACAATTTAAACACTGGATATTTACCTTCCACCACAAACAAAGAATAAAAAATGTTCTAACCCATACAAACACTTTTGAGTCAAATAACAAAAAACAAAAAAGTCACATCATCCCTGTCAAGCCAACACAACTTAGAAATATATGGCTTAAGCTTCAGCCTTTCAGAGGTAGAACGAAAGTGATAGTTTTAGTATTGAGGTGTGATCATGATGAGTATAATGGAGCAAGGTATATATCATGGCATTATATTATTAATGTTAAACCAAAATCTTTATCTTCACGATTGAAGAATGATGAAAACTACCACTCAATCAACTTCTGATAATATGTCGCATTCATGAATTGAAGTCAAAAGGATGCAACTCAGGTAGTGGTTTGGAAGCTATTCCTCAGGACTTTAGACTTTAGGTTGGACTGAAGTTTATCCGGTGTATATTATTGGATAGTGATTATGAATTTCATGTTTCTTCGAATGGAATTAATGGGGAACTCGAATTAACTAAATTTGATTAATTAATGAGATAAATGAATGTAAAGAAAATGTGTAATGCTTAAAAGAGACAAAGTATTTGTATTAATAGCCTAAGGAGAGTACAAAGAATGTAATGATAAGACAAGTTGTATTGTGTTCTAAATAAGGACAAAGAGCTTGCTTTTATACTTGGCCTCTCTTTGGCCCTTGCAACCAGGCCACCTCTCACTCGAATCAACGACCCACTCGAGCGGGTGGTTAGGGTCTGGCTTGACTGCATCATCCGCCCACCTCGGCTGACTGGATCGGATCTTGCCAACCCAACCTCTTGGGCTCAGGTGGACTACCTTGGGCTGGCCTTGAGGTCGGCATTGCGCACCGAGGCCAACCTCGAGGAGGCTAACAGCTAACCTGACCCATGAGCTCGGGTCGAACTACCTTAGGATGACCTTGTTGTTGGCCTTGGCCACCGAGGCCAACCTTGGGGTCGGCCTAGCACGGGATGGTTCGCTTCCAATCCTCTCAGGTTAGTTCTCATGAGTATCCATTCGGGTTGTTCCGAACCTATTCTTAATATATATCCATCACCCCCAACACCCAAAAAAAAAAAAAAAAAAAAAAAAAAAAAAAGAGTTATGGGCAACTCTTTCTTCTATTGATAAATATAAATAGAAGTATACAAAAATTTACAGCGAGCTGAGAAAAAAACTGTCATAAATTAAAATATATAATTAACTTTAATTAAATCAACCCTTTTTTTGTAGAGTCAAGATTATTGTATAAGTGAATGCATAGATTTTGGACCAATATTAACCAAAATAAATAAATAAATAAATGAAAAGCAAGACTGCATATATATGAACTTCAGGCAAGGGAATCAGAATATATGGAGCTTTAAGTTAAATTGCAGATGGCCTCATTGCTCTATCATATACATGAAACTGGAATTTTCAACTCGGATATTCTAGGTAAATGAGTGGCTACCTTTGCCTCAATGCATGCATGAAAAGCATCTTCCAAAACTTCACAAATGCAGTAAAAAAAATATATATATATTAAAAAAAAAAAAAACAAATTCATCACCATTCTAAATCGAGCTTATATATTCTTGAACATAAAATAATAAATATACAGTTCAACTATTAGCTCAAATTTTTAGTGAAGATTGAACGCATCCTTCAATTTTATATTAGCAGATTGTCCACGCGCAATGTTACATGACCCATCAAAATGTAACGAAGCCTCATTACAATATAT